GATCGGGTCTAACATCCATTCCCCCACCATCCGCTTTAAGTGCAAGATGGTGCAATTTTATATTTTAAATATCAAATCTACAAATCTTCAAATCCCCAAATTCTCCAACCATTCCAGATAACACGTATTTATACGTATCTGATTGACGACTAGTCTTAATCGAAAGTTCTCTCTCATTACTGCGATGGGTAATTAACTATAGGGGCTTGCGCCTATAGGAAACCAGAACTCAGATCATGAAGTCCTCGTGAAGTGAGGGCGAAATCTCTAGGTAGTGTCTTATCTACAAACCCATTTGCCTTCCAAAAATTTAACCCATAACTTAAATTTGTTAAAACTCCCTCGAAAAGAAAAAGCAAAGTCGGGCGGAGGCCGGGGTCGAATTTTCGGAGCCCACATTAGAATTGAATTGAATTACTTGGCCAAATACCAATGTTCCATGCAATCGGATTGATAGATGCATACTAAGATTGGCCTAGAGGCTTACTACATGGGATTGATACATGCATACAAAGATTGGCCAATTCAATGACTCATGACTAAGTACTCAACTCGCTTTGGAGAGGAGGATACCTTATAACCTGCAGGCGGACTGTGTTTGAGTACCCTAGAACAATCTTTAAGACTGCAATCAATATTAAATAATTGACTCAAGGCGACTTGAAACGAAGCAATTTGGGTTAACATCAATATGTTAACGAACATTTTAGTGTATCATGAAGTGCCTTAGTTTAGCAACCATGAGTTGGCCTAAGCTTTGAGTTCAAGAATAGCTAACATAAAAGTCCTGAACACCAGGAATTGGGATTACTTGATGGATTTACAGCCTTTGTGTGATAGTGCTTGCATGGCAAAAGATTTGTCTCAATTTGGTAGAGATGATCTGATGGATTGTGTTGACTTGCTGGATTTGCGTGGCTTTGTGACAAGTTTTGGGGATTGGTGAGTGCTCTATTTGCTCACCAGTAGGATTTGGGGCTCACATACTAAAAATATCCAAAGATGGGGGCTTGAACCTTATGGTCACCCAAAAGCTGGTCTTTCAAACTTTGCTCTTTTTAGGCAATGTGGCCCAAAATTTGGCAAAGGGGACTTGGAAGATTTTTATTGTTGTTCTAATTAGAAATTGATTTGCTGCATTAGGCTTGAGGTATTATGCTAGCTCTTTTGTTTTACTCGGGATTTAGAACCCTAGAAGGCATAAAGACGATTTTTGGAGATTCAAGTATTTGGTTTTGATGTTTTAGGATTGGATTAGTTAATTATTTTTCAGCAGAGCTGAGAACTTCATCAATAAGCTGTTTGGAAGATGCAGCTTACACTCTCAATTTGGAGGACAATCGAGAGGTTTTTGGCTTTTTTTGAATGGATTTTGTTGAAAGCAACATTGAAGGTCTCATACAAAAGTATTTCAAAAGATTTTTGGTGGTGGCACCAACATTTAATGCATGCATTTGGCATAATTTGATTTGATTGTCAGGGATAACAACCTTAGTTTTAAGGATGCCCAAGAAAGTCTCAATTTAGACTTTAATATGCATTTTGGTCATTGAGATTAATACAATCTAATGGCATGAACTCCATTTGTGAGTCGACCAAACAAGAGGGCTTCTAATACTTATATGAGAGGTGCCCAAGAATAGGTTCTACTGGACAATTTTCACCCCTTGCATGGTCAGTCTCCTCCACCATATTAACAGTGTTCGATGTCCAAGATTAATCAAGATGGCTTACATTTCATGTCCAATCATGCATAGTTAGCATCCCTTGAATTTCCATCAACATTTGGAGAATTTTATACACTACAGGAATGTTAGCAATTTCCGGCGGAAAATCCGGTGTAAATCGCTCACAAATCTGATGTTCTAACTAACCTCTCTAACCGACTGAGTATGCATCTGTTTCATTTGTTCTGTTCCGCCTCATTCGATTTCGACTCCGGTAATTCTTAACCTCATTCTATGACGTTCCCATGGCCTCTCCCCCTTTAACAACGACGTTCTAATTCCTCTAGCCACCTTTGAGCCACCTTCGACGACATTCTTCCCTGTTGCATCCGAAGTCATCAACGCATTCCTTCTTGTAGGATCCAAAGTCACACCTCCTCTCGCTATTCTTCTCTTGCAACCAAAGTCACACCTCCTTTGCGACATGACGAAGGGAGCTTGGTTTTGCAAAGGTATCCATCTTTCTTCCTTTTGCGCGCTTCTTAGTCCAAATCACTCAATGGTCGAACTCCTCATTGCCGCCGAGCCGAGTTTTGTTGCAAAGGTATGATTTTTGCTGATGATATTTCATGTTGATAATATTAGATAGGGATTTGATGAGTACACATTTTAGATACCTTGGGTCTATTGTTCATAGTGATGGTGAAATAGATGGAGATATTATTATTAGAAATCAAGTTGGATAGTTGAAGAGGAGGAATGCATCAGGCTTGTTGTTCGATATATAAGTCCCAAATTTAAGGAAAAATTCTATAAGATGTGGTGAGACTTGCAATGCTTTTATGGTGCAAACTGTTAGCCATTAAAAGAGAAGCATAATATTAAGTATTGCAGAAATGAGAATGTTCAGGTGGATGAGTGGCTTTACTCTTAGAGACATGATACATAATGAGCATATTCGTGAAATGGTTGGAGTAGCTCCAATAGAAAAGATAAGATTAGAGAGAGTAGCCAAAGATAGTTTGGTCACATATATGCTCATTTTGTATGATTGAAGTGAAGGAATGCATCGGGCTTGTTGTGTGATAGAAATGTCCCCGTCAAACTTAAGGAAAAATTGTATTAGATGGTGGTGAGACATTATCATATGATTGTGCTGATTGTCAAACTAAAGAAGTGATAGTGATGATTGTGCCTTCAAATATTGTGCAGGTTATCACAGATAATGGACTAGTGTATAGAGCTGCAGGATTATTGGTGGAACAAATTTATCCTCATATATTCTGGACTCTATGTGTTGTGCACACTTTAAATCTTACTCTAAAAAATATTTGTGCAGTAAAAAATATAGAAGCTAATGAAATCATCTATGCTGAATGTAATTAGATAACAGTGGTTGCAGAAGATGATTTCTGATCTGAAATTTCATTATGAACCACTCAATGAGACTTTCAATCTTTAATGATTTTGCAAATTTGTGAATGTTAGCTGTTGCAGAAACTCGTTTTGCCTCTGTAATAATCATGTTGAGAAGGCTCAAACAAATAAAAAAGACTCTTCAATTTATGGTGATTTGTGAGAAGTGGTCTTGCTATCGAGAAGATGATATTTGAAAGACAATATATGTGAAATAAAAGATCTTAAGATAAATTGTGGTGGGATGATATGGATTACATTTTGACTTTCACTGATTCAATTTATGATATGTTGAGAGAGGCTGATATAGATAAATTATGCCAACATTTAATTTATAAGATGTGGAACTCTATGTTAGCGAAAGTGAAAGAAATTATATATAGACATTAAAGAAATGCAAAATTATATATAGACATTAAAGAAATGCACTTGATGAAGACATAAATTTTTGGAGCGTTGTTTATACCATTCTTGACGACAAGTTGAGCAAAAGCAACACACCTCTTCATTGTTTGGCTAATTCATTAAATCCAAGATAAATTTAAATATAACTTCTAAATTAGTTTTTTATTTCGTGGATAATTAATAAATAATTTAATATTCTTTATATTCTTTGAAAGTATTCAAGTAAATAATGGCTTTAATAAGACCCTCAATGTGTCTCACCACAAAAAGATTCAAAGGTTTCAAATATGAGAAAGATATACTTGAAACATTATTTTTCAAATGAGGAGAGAAAAAAGATTAATATAAAACTTGCAATGTTCTTTGGATATTTAGAAGATTTTGGTGATCAAGAATTTATGATTGATAAATGGAGGATGAATAAAAAAATGTGGTGGTTGATTCATTAAGCTTCAACGTCGTTTTTTCAAACAATAGCAATAAAACTTCTAGGTCAAGTTTCATCTTCCTCTTGTTATGAGAGAAATTGGAGCAATACTTATTTATTCAATCGATAAAGAGGAATAAAATAACTCCACAACAGACTAAATATTTAATTTATGTGCATACAAATATTCATCTTCTATTTAGAAAAATACCACTTTATATGACAGGTGATAACAAGATGTGGGATGTTACTGAAGATGGGTTCGAGTCCCTTGATGATATGAGAATATTGGATATTGCAAATCTTTCTTTTGATGAATCAGTGTTGAAAGCAATGATATTCAATGATGATGATATTGAAGGCTAAAGACAAACCTCTGAAGCTAATCCTATCATTCTCTATACTGAGTAGTTAAATGTTGATGTTGTACTAAATTGATTTTTTTGCTTATATTTTTGTGGTTGTATTAGACATTTTGTACTAAACATTTTATGTTATAAGCTAAATAAGTTATCATAACATTGATTTATTATTGTTTGTCATTTTTAATATGATGTTACTATAATTTCTATATATCATTATAAAAAAATTATTATGTCGTGTCCACGCCGCACTCGTGTCCTATACTTTTCAAAAAAGCATTATCCGTGTCCTGTCCTGTCCGTGTCGCCGTGTTCATATCCATGCATCATAGTCAAGAACCTACCCAAAAATTGCTTTAAATAATACAAAAATTTCAAACAAAAGCTGAGAGTACTTTATAAACTTTGCCATTTTATCCAGTTTATGCATTTCTAAATACAAGCCTAGTTCCATTTATTGGATTGAGAATAGTTTCATTAAAGGAAGAGACACGTTTGAGGAATTAAAAGAATTCTATATTTTAGCAAGTGGATTAGCATTCAAGCTTAGCTGAAAACATAACATCTGCAACCTTAAGATAACGGAAGATAAATAGTTTGAACAACAAAAGAAGACTAAGAAAAAAAAGAATTGGAAGCCATTAAAAAATAGGTTAATAAGCATTAGTTTAACATCAAATATTTTTCAATTATGAAGAAATTACGATAGGCAGAGATACTTACCCTATTTTCGTCATTTTCCATTTCTCAATATCAAATACATCCATTCCAACATAAAGAAATATGAATGTTTCTGCAATAAAAGATATGGTTGAAAAAATATGCCTGCAAAGGAATAAAAAATTAGTTAAATATGTTGTTATCGTAGAACATAGCCCAAGTATTTGTGCGTCAGCTTTATAAAAAAATCCAGTAAATAGCTGCATATCTTATTCAGCTAAATCCATAAGCAACTATTATCCATGGTCGTTTCGCCCCCTGCAAGTTTTGCTGCCAATTCTTTTCCATAATTTCTACCACTATAGTCGTAGAAACATTTTATGAACAGAGGTCTACGGAAAAAACAGAGAAATACCAAATAAGAATATATATATATATAAAAAAAAATATATATATATATATATATATATATATATATATATCAGGAGATAAGTAACTTATTTGAAGAATGCAAGAGGTGAGTGGATGAATTAAGGTCGTATGGATTAGATTAAGGAATTGTTTGGTTCGCAGACATAGTAACCGTAGTGAAACATGACAGATATCATAAAATAATCACTAGATCTAAAAAAAGGGCACGCCATATTTTCATTTATTGATAACGTACTTCTACAAAAAAAATCTCTCACCACTGCAAATATTAACTCAGCATCGGTTCCACCTCACTCTTATAGGATAGAGATAACACAGTATGCTCGCATGAAACTATGAATATAAAAAGTGAACATTTTGGAGGCACTTGTGTTGCACGCAATGGAGAAGATGCCAAAGCTAAGATAAGATGAAATTTAAATGAATTTAAAATCAAGTGATTTTTGGCCACTGTTCAAATTATGACAACATAAAATGGGCTTGTTAAAATCCCTTCAAAGAATAAAAGATAACACATGCAGTCATAATGCTTAGAAAGAGCTTTCAAATCCACATTAATCCATTGTCTTTATTATCAATTTGTTAAAAAGCATCTTCAGTTTGCAGACAGTTGTTGCCAGAGTAAAAGGAAACTCCGAGAATGACATGCATTACTAATCAAATAACCAGCAGCAACTGAAATACTCGAAGAATACCTTGTAGTGACCCTTGAGCTCTCAGTGGCATTATGCCATGCGTAATGTGACATTACAATCCCGCAGAAGAAAACTGTGGGTATCCCGCTTAAATTTAATAGCTGCATATTAAGAAAAACTATAGTTCATTCTCGTGCACAGGAACAAGAAACAAAAAAAAGAATTACATATAATCAGACAAGCAGACACTATCACAACCCATGCATATACAACTAATAGGGAAAATACACAAACATGGTACATAAAAGTTTGAAGGCAGTTTTATGCTCAGAATAGGCCTTGAAAGCCCAAAATTCAAGCCATCTTTTTTTATTTATTTATTTTTTTTTTTAAGCTAACAAACTTTTAAGGAGAAAAAAGGAATAAAATGAATAGCTCTAACCTCTGCAGGCATGTATGATGGAAAACTCACAGAATGAAACATATTAGTCCTATCATATTTTTGTCTCTCAAGCACTGCAAGTCATATAGAAAGGGGAAAAAGTTGGAGGAAATAGCTCTTACCTCAGCAACCACATAAGACAGATAAGCCATCAACATCATTAAAGCTACTTCACGGTCAGTTGAATGCCTATTGTCCACAGAGTGTCAATATAAAATGCATTTTCCACAACAAAAGAATTAAGTCTTCTTATCTAACAAAATATTACCTGCCAAAATAGAAGGTCTTTAGAGTGTAGGCAGTCGAAAGCCCTACCTGATACAAGATGGAAAATACACGATTAAAAATAAAACAAATAAATGCGCATCAATGAAGAACAATGCACAACAAGAAATAAGCATGCCATGAAGCAATAATGCTTACAGCAACCCCCAGCATAGTGCTTGTCGAAAATAAGCATAAGAAGTCCCAAAGAAGGATAAAAGCTGTCCCACCACCAATTTTAGAAGCATTGATCTTCTGAATCGCATTAAAAAGAACTATAGATGTAGCACCATTCACAACACCTTCCCCAAACACTAAGCTGTAGAGGTGTGGGGTCTCCTCTTGACGTAAAACCTAAATACAAATAATTTATTAGATATTTCAATAATTTCACTTAAATATTTGAAGAGAACATTAAAATAGAGTAAATTGTCAAACCTGCAGTGTACAAACAGTATCTGTTGAAGAGAATATGGCACCAAGTGCTTGTCAAAGGAAAACATGATGCTATTAATTCTATGATGTAAACAAAATAACAACCAGCGAGAAGGGGTTTTCCCAGCTTTTCCATTAAAATTAAATAAAATAATCAAAACTCGTAAGAGGCAAATAAAAGATAAAAACACACCTAAATATTGCCAAGTAGTAAGTCCTTCAAAACCAATTTTTGGAAATAGCCACCAAGTTCCTATATATTATATACGTAAAACGGTGAGGTTTCAAGAAACTTAAATACAACAAATGATGGTCAGTTCTGAAATGAACATCATCAAGTGATTAATAAAGTCAACGGCAGTGAAGGGGGAACAGTAATTTCATAAAATGAACAAGGAACATATCCAACTACTCCCAAGCCAAAAATAGAACGATACGATACTTATAATAGTATGGCTCCTTCATGTTGTAAATGATTTAATAAACTTGTGTTAGATCCAGTGTCGCTTATAGAGAGAAGTCAAGACTATATTAAAGATACAGTACAACAACAACAATATCAAGCCTTTGTCCCACTATGTGGGGTCGGCTACTAAAGATGTAGTGTGAACTTAAAAAACAGAAAAGAAAAAGAGAGAGAAAGAGAGAGAGAGAGAGAGAGAGAGAGGGGGGGTTGTCTCAATGATTCTCTACATAAATTGGTCTATAGAAGACCCGATTGAACAACTTTGATAAAGAAGAGCGAGTCAAATCTAGCTCCACAGATATTTCTGTGGAAAAGAAAGAGAGATCCTAACGAGATTCTTAGAGAGAATCTAAGAGATTCATAGAGATTGTTGGCTTAGAGTCTGAGTTTTAATGCATGCGCTCAACTAATGATCCCCAATTTATTGGTGAGGGTCAAGGGTTGTCATTATAGGTTTGGTTAAATAGTAAAACCACAAAGAAAGTGCATAAAATGGACACATTGTGGTGGGTGAGTCTAGCTTATCATTGAATGCTAGTTAGGGACCTCCAACAAGATCCTGATTGACAGCGATTGCCCTTGCCGGGTTCTTAGCGATAACAACTAGTCAATAGGCAATTACTCTAGATGAGTTACAAAACTCCTCGAGCAAATAGACTTGACAATTAAGAGACTTAGTATGTCTCTTAAGCAAGTTCAGCACCTCAATAATAAGGATGAAGTAAGATTTGATCCAAGAGCGACTTGTAGAAATTCAATTATGGCCGACACAAGCCTTAGACAACTTGAAGCCTAATGAGTTCTAAGTTAAAGGTTCTCAAGTTATTTCACAACTAAAGACTAATTGAACCCTATTCAAGTTCTGATGATAACCTGATTAACCTAATCCAAGAGAATATGGTTGCAAGTAAACTCTCCAATTCTCTTGTACCTTCTGAGAAGCCAAGAAAAACAAAATAATGAGTTTCAAAAAACCTATTTTAACCAAAGGGTTGGACATGATTTGTAGCATTAGCTCTAAAGAGTTCTTAAATCTTTGACATGTACTTAACATGTCGAAGAAAAACTTATATATATGCAGTTTGTGGTTCATATTGAAAATCTTAATGCTTTTGCTTCAATCACCATTCTTGTTTTGCAGTTGAGTGCTTGCTTTCTACGTACAAAGATGAAGTTCAAACATCTTTTAAGCTCCAAAGTTCTGATTAACTCAAAAGGAAATATTAGAAGGCAATGAAGTGTTTAGCTTTACCATATATATGAGAAGGGATCTATGACTACAAATGCCTCCACTTAGGAAAGTGATAATCAAACAAAAAGGTGGTTAGGAGGTGCTAGGCTCTACAACAAGCAAGCTGACAGTCGAAGAAGCCTTTAGTTTTGAGGGGTTGTTGCTGAGAAGGCTCTTGGTGATTTAGAGATAGTCATCAAAGAGGTCCATACTTCAACATTAGTCCTCAAAGGGGCACTAGAAAGCACTACAACAATGACGTTCATAATTGAAATGTCTCTAAATATGATCGGATGGAGAATGCATCACTCTAGGGTCATTTATAGCAAAAATCAACAAATTCTTTGCAACCTCATAATTCTACACGTCTCAAATAAGGTTTAAGTCTTTAAAATGATCTTTGACCTCCTACAAAAAGCATGAGAAGACCACCAAAATATTGACCAACTTCAACAAAAAGTGTGGGCTAGCTCCTTGGAGTCATTGAGTAAGAGAAGTTCAATTGGGTGTACACAATCTTATAGACAACTAACAGCTTAGTGAGTTTTAAGTTAAATGTGCAAGCCAATTCAAAAATAAACACTTATTGAACCTTATTCAGGTTATTATGATGACTTGATTTGAAGCTGCAAAAGGCACATCAAGAGGGGGTGAATTAGTTCTTTTACAAACTTTTTGGAATTTTAAAAATCTTTTGCTTAAAAAACAAAACTTGATATATGCAGAAGCATTTATAAGATTAAGCAACTCAAAACAAAACAAAAAGAAAATAAGATTTTTTTTTTAATTTTTGAAAAACAGAATAAATTTTTTATTCTTTTCTTTACTAATTTTCAAACCAAAGTTCCACCAAACACAATCACCAAAAACTTCTTTCACCAACATAATCAAAATAAAATCAGACTGCAGTAAAGTAACGATAACAAAGTATGAAAAAGAAAACTGAGGTTTATAATGATTCAGCCAGATTGACCTATGTCCACTCCCCAAAAGTCTTCCTCTTTGGGTATTGCGCTAAACAGTAACTCTACTTCAACATATAGCTAGGCAAGGAAGCCATTCTCCTTTGACCAGATGGAGAATCACCCTTACAGACTCTTCAAACCCGAATAATCTCCCTCCACTCACCTCCTCGTCCCGCAAAGTTGTTGTCCCTCCCTTTGCTTCCTCGGCCCAGCGGAGATGTAGATCCCTCCTCTTGCCTCGTAAGCTCAGCGGACAGTCGTCCCTCCTTTCATCTATAAGCCCGACGGATATGTTGTCCCTCCTTCAAACTTGACCTCAACTTGTAAGCTTATTGAGCCGCTCATTTAAATTAAAATATATTTAAAATCTAATTTTAAGGTAGGAGTTGAGTTTTGTATTTCTTCTTCAACAATAATAAAAGATATAAGGGATCTATTGTTCGAGAGGTAGATCAGCTCAACCAAAAATCCTAGCTGTCGCTAGAGAACTCACAACAGCAGAAAAAACTACAGCAAACATAACCTTCTAACCCTAGCCAATAACCCCCTTTCAATAGCAACAACCCCCATTAAACACATTAAAAACCTTCCTAAACATTTCTCTGTTGATTTCTCCTCTTTAAAACCTTCCTAAATATTTCTCCCCTAATTTATCCACCTTACATGGTGAATTTAACTCCTCTGAGCCGCATAGGAGGGGTTGAAACCCTCTCCCTGCTGCTCTGGTTCCTTCCTAGTTGGCTTGCTGGGTTCGACTGGTCTAGAACATATAGCAAAAGCTGGCTCCCATTCTCCTCTGGCATAACAATACTCCCCCAAAGATGCATCTTTTTCTCAAGGTGAAAGGATGAAAACTGTCTCCTGATCGTCTCATATGGATCCCATTTAGCTTCGTGCTCCGGTGAATCCTTCCACTTGATTAGTACCTCCTGTGCTCCGAATTCCCCTCGACGCACCCCTTCTACATCCATGGGTTCCAAAATGACCTCACATCTTCTATTAAAGTTGGGGGTAGTAAAGATGGTGTGTGATCTCCTATTGCATGCCTCAGCTATGAAACATGAAATACAGGATGTATAATTGGGGTCGATGGAAACCGTAAGCGATATGCTACTGTGTCATCGCTCTGTACTACTTCATAAGGCCCAAAGTAGCAGGGGAAGAGCTACTCATACCTTCGTCAAGCCAAGGTCCTCAATCTGTAAGGTCAGATCTTCAAATTAACATTGTCCCCAACCTCAACTTACATGTCTCTCATGTGTCCATCCTCCTACTTCATAAATTATTGTGCTCTCCACAGATATTACTTTAATTCTACCAAATCTGGTCTCTTTTTTTTTTTTTTTAAATATTGCTCCATTGATGACATTAGTGTGTTGTTGTGCCCATAATATATCAAATGAGGTGGATCCTCTCATATAAGATTTTAAATAGCATTGTCTAGGCTGTTGTATGATAAGAAGTGTTATTTTAATATTCCGCTTAGGCTAATCACTTGGCCTGATGTATCTGATGCAAACCAACGAAGATAAGTCTCCACATTGCAATTCACTGCCTCTGTCTGAAGGTGGTAGGTAGTACTCTGCTTCGGAATAGTCCCATGCATCTTGAATAACTCGCTCCATAAGTGCCTCAGACAGACTTTATCCCGATCGGACATGATGGCCTCGGATATGCCATGCAACGAGACCATCTCTCTAATAAACATGGCTGCCACCAACATGCTGTAAAGAAACAAAATGAGCATATTTGCTCAATCTGTCCACCACCACTAAAATCTCAGTGAACCCTTCTAATCTAGGTAGACCTTCAATGAAGTCTAAAATCGCCTCTTCTCACACCTTTTCAGGTATTGCTTAAGGCTATAGAAGAATACCTAGAGTTATAGCTAAGTATTTGTCTCTAAAACAGATCACAACTAGTCACCAACTTCTCTACATACTTTCGCATGCTCACCCAATATAGCTCTACTACAACTCTATGATATGTCTTATGTACTCCTAAATTTCCCTCAATAATTGTTCCATAGAACTCCTGCAACAAGTGAGGGATGTGTGGAGATGCTGTAAAAGCACAAACCATCCCTAGTATAACACCTACTGACCCATCAAAGAGTAATCAGAATGGTTGTCCTTGTCCTACAATAAGTCTCTTTCGATCTTACTCAACTCATCATCATACTCGCTCTCATGCTTCAAGACCTCCCAATTCACCACAATGGGAACAGATAGAGCCACAATCTGAGGGCCTTCACTAGGCCTAGAGAGAGCATCTACAAATTTATTTTTCAGCCCAAGCTTATACTAGATCTCGAAGTCATAATCCAATAATTTGGAAATATGTCGTTGATGCTCTTGTCAACATCCTTTTTTTCTAATAGCAACTTCAAACTCTGATTGGTCCTGATTATGAAGTGTCACCCCAATAGGTAAGGACGCCACTTTTGTATTGCCAACACTATTGCCATTAGCTCCCTTTCATACACTGTCTTTAGCTTGCCTGAAATAAGCTATGGGTCTCTGACTTTGCATGAGGATTGCCCCCAATCCATAACTTGATGTATTAGTCTCCCCTACAAATGACTGACTGAA